GAATTGACGAGAACGTGATAGAGAGGAGGAAAGACTGAGGGGAAGCTAAAAAAAAAGAAAGAAAGAAAGAAATAGGTGAATGCGAAAGAGAGAAAGAATTGACGAGAACGTGATAGAGAGTGAGTGAAAGACTGAGGGGGAAGCTAAAAAGAAAGAAAGAAAGAAAGAAATAGGTGAATGCGAAAGAGAGAACTGGTGACAGATGAATAATGAGAGTTATAGAAAGAGATCTAGAGAGAGAGGGGGGGCACGTAGAAAAAAGAATAAGAGTCATTGAGAGAGAGAAGAATGGATAGAGAAAAGAAGAGACAAAGAAAGATACAAACAACCCCGTAAATATATATATAGAGAGAGATAGAGAGAAAGAAAGACAGACAGAAATACAAAAAGAGGGAGAGAAAGAGAGAAAGACAGAAATACAAAAAGAGAGAGAGATAGAGAGAAAGACAGACAGACAGAAAGAAATACAAAAAGAGAGAGAGATAGAGAGAAAGACAGACAGACAGAAATATAAATAGAGAGAGAGATAGACAGACAGAAATACAAAAAGAGGGAGAGATAGAGAGAAAGACAGACAGACAGAAATACAAAAAGAGAGAGAGATAGAGAGAAAGACAGACAGACAGAAATACAAAAAGAGAGAGAGATAGAGAGAAAGACAGACAGACAGAAATATAAATAGAGAGAGAGATAGAGAGAAAGACAGACAGACAGAAATACAAAAAGAGGGAGAGAAAGAGATAACTCCTTCTAGGTGGTCGACTGATTCTTCTATATTTCAAGGATCATGATTTCTTTTTAAATTTTGATGTAGCTGTGCAGAAGTCCGTTCTAAAAACTGAGTGGGCGTCTGCCATTGGAATTTGGAGTAGAGAAAGTGTCATTGATAAGAAGAGAATGTTTGAACGCAAAGGCGAGTGTCTGATGTGTAGGAGACGTGTGTGTGGGCACCTGAAAAAAAAGGGGGGGTATGATTCAAACAACTCCCATCATTGAAGGTAAAAATTTGCCCCATGTTTATCTTCAAAGTGGTAAATCGGAAATTTAGTATTGCTATTTTTTTTTGTATATACCTGCATTGATTTGCTTGATCAGTTTGTTTGTTTTTGACGGCTTATCAACACTTTGTGGGCTATTTACAATTTTATTTATAATTCTCTATTTTGCGAGTGAATATTACATTAACATTTTTTGAGAGCAACAAAATATTTTTCTTATATACAACTTCTGCTATTTAACCCATAGCTGGATCCATACTATTCTCAAGGCTATTTGCACGTAAGTGAATGTAATGAATTCAAACTCGATTCGCGACAGTTTTTTTTTTAAAATCATTTTGCCCCAAGCAAGGCAATAAAGCCACTAAAACGGAAAGAGTTACCGAGAGTGAAGGAATTTGAGAAAAATCATTATTAATGTGAAAGGACAATAAAAGAACAAAATTCAAGAAGATAGAAGATAATGATTGGCAGTGCATCTAAGTTTCTAGAAGATCAAAGTTGATTGGAGAGTAACAAGCCAGAAGAGAGTTCTAGAAGCGAGCAGAAGAAACTGTTAGCATAGAACTTGCGGTTGCATCTAGAAATTTCAACTGTAAAAGAATTAGACCTTTCCGCCAATCTAGTACTGGGCTTAAATTCATAAAATCTAGGTACCATGAACGAAAGTCCATTAGAACATGAAAATATTTATAAGAAAGGCATAGGTAAGCTACATTACGGCAGTGCGAAAGTGACTGAAGCCGAGATGCCAGGTAAGGACAAATACCATTGCAGCATCTTTTGATTTTATCAAGAATCTCTAAATATATAGCAAGAGTATCCTTTGTTTCCTGTTTAGGATTGGGTTCCCAGTTCCTTCTAAAGTCTACTTCAGCTCTATACTGCTAATATCTCCATCTGAACTCTAAAATTTTATCCACTAATTAAATCTTGACTTCTTCAAGTCTAGAATTAGTCGTTATCTTTTCTGAATAGCCGCAAGAACTTCACTTCTGGCCATTCCTTACGCTAATACAACTCCACACAGTAACCCTCTACCTTGAGTGGCTCCTGGGCCTTGTAGCGGATGAACATTAGTAAAAAGATTAAAAAAGAAAAGAAGAATAACACCTGATCATATGTGGCAGCAATATTCGAAGCATGGACGAATGGTAGATTTATAAATATGTAAGACATTGGAGGGAAAAAAATAAATATGTAAGACATTGGAGGAAAAAAAATAAATATGTAAGACATTGGAGGAAAAAAAATAAATATGTAAGACATTGGAGGAAAAAAAATTGACTGGTATAACACAGTGAATCAACTTTTTTTTAGCATTTATTTGCTTTTTGCAACAGCATTGATTTAAAAATAAAAAAAATGAAACACTGATTCCTATGTAGTTTCACTGTTGAAAAACGGCGCAAAAGACCTCAAAAGAACTCAGCATGAAAATTTGGTCGAAAAACTGAACAGTTGCTTGGGAACGGATGACTTTCAAGAGGCGGCCTCCTCCGAAATTCTCTCTGGTTCAAAGCAACGGGAAGTGGTTCAAATCGAAGCAACTGCTGTCGACTTCGAAAGCTGCAGTTTAAGAAGGAAACTCAACAGAACAACGAAGAAAACTTCCTGTCAGTTGATAGATGAGTGTAACGTGTCTGATTTGCTGCCAGCTGATGTCGCTAAGACCATCTCCGGAGAATACGAACAGGTCAGCTACACTGGAGCTATAAAATCAGTGTCGATCAAACACTATTTGATTGATGTTGAAGTTGGTTTAAGGAATCATGGGATTCAGTCATTTGGATTAAGATCGTATTTAGCGATAATACAAGTATAGAGCGCTAAGAGAGAACGGATGACGTCGGGTGGGGGGAAGGAAATATCGCCTTACTTGCTGAAAACAATCACGTTTGAAAAAAGTCTGATTCTCTGGGGGTACATCAAAATTTGATGGGTCATGCAAATAGATTAGATTCGATAGTAGCTTGAATTTTTTTTATTTTTGTGCAAATCGTGTTCACTCTGCACAAGGCCCGAGAGCCACTCGATGTAGAGTGTTATAGAGTAAAAGGCACAGCTTATGCCGATATGCGAGAAAGATATCGGTTAACTTGAACAGGATAAGACTGTAGGGATCGTAAAAGCACCGTCTTAGGAGTCTGTTCCACAAAGCAGCGGTTCGTGGGAAGAAGCTGCTCAAGTGGAACTTACATCTCACCAATGGAATACGAAGGGAATGAGGCTGGTTCGCTACAATGTTCGTAGTATAGCGGGTCTTAGCCGTGAAGGTTAGAACTGGTGGAACGAAGGAATGTAGATCGTCTGAGCACTTGACACGGAAATAGCGATAGGGCAGCGACGTTTCGTCTGCGAGGAAAGGTGTTGTAGGGTGGAAAATAATTTGTCATCCACAAGGACCCGGAGATGCTTTTTGGACTCTATCGAGAGAGGAAAATGAAGACTGTACTGCTACTGACCATATATGGCAACAGTACCCCATTTGTGGCCTGATCTGGCTCTTGTAATGGTAGAAGATAGCAGGAGGAGTCAGGTACTTACTGGAGCGGTACAGGGATACGATTATTTTTCCAGCATTTCCAGCAATTGATCGTATGTACATATTGAGCTCTAAGTTGAGTTTAAGTCCCTATAGGCGCTTAAGGTACGGGGACCTCCGTGAGGAAACATTCGTTCATCATGATTAGTAATAGTTCTGGGTCCAATCGATGGTGATGGAATGTAACTAGTTTGGTTTTCGAGGCATTCAATGTAACCAGCCGGTTTTTGTCCCCCACTTAGAGCGATTTCAGAGGAGAGATCAAATGCCAATCTCCGGTCGTCTCGAGTTTTGGAGGTGCAGCCACATACCGTTGAATCATCAGCATAGATTAAGCAGCTCATTTATGTAAAGTAGAAAGTGGGTTGGTCCAAGAAGCGACCCCTGGGGGACACCTGCGTTGAATGACAGGACCTCGAATAGCTTAATATAAGATTGGTCACAACTACTGTAAAAAAAAAAAAAAATCGTCACAAACTCCATAGGTGAAATGTCTCAAAAGCTAACACAAAAGAGATCCTTTAGTAAACAGTTATGTGCCATGCGTGATACACGCTTAGGCGATCATGTATCTTTCGATACATGACTGATGAGGCAGATTTTTTTCCCCGCAGTTGGTTGCCATTTTTTACTGCGGTAGACCAGTTGCCATCCAGGGCTATAGAAACTGGTTTATCCTGCTATTTACCCATAGATGGAGGGGAGAAGAATAATATTCATACTTTTCCCAAGGGTATTAGCACGTAAGCAAGTGTAATGAATTCGACTGAAATTCGAACTCGGCTCTCTGATTTCTAAATCCGAGCCGCTATCTATTACTCCGCCGACTCAATTAATTAGTCATTCATCGTAATAAATCTGTCCTTAATTTTTGTTTCAAGAATGCAGTTTTAATTAAAACGATTGCAGTTTTCGTCCTTGCTTTTTGTTTGGGTTAGTGTGTAACGTCAACATCATGACTGTGTCTTCATTCTCTCTTCAAGTTACATCTGCTATCCTTTTTAGCTATCGCTGCTGTTGAAACTCCTCAAGTGAGAGATCGTAAAGAACCAAAAGGTACTGAGAATATCATGGGCCGAATATGTGAGCAATAACGAAATTTTAGAGAAGAGGCAAACAAAAAAAGACACATCAAAAAGAGACAGTTGGAATGAGAAAAGAGAGCTAGGAGAATTTGATACTCACATGACAGACTGAATGCAAGTAGGACAGAGGAAAACAACACGTGACTTCCTTAGTGAGCTTCAGTAAACGAATGGCGGAACAAGGGTTAGGAGCGATAACAAAAAGACAAATTTTATCACGAGCTACTAGGGACATGAAGTTGTGGAGAGACATGATCGCCAGCGTTCCTAATGGATATGTTACATAGAGGAAGAAGATATATATCTAGATATTCGTTTGCTTGCTGTGTACGAAAAATGAGTGGACTTATTTCTTGCACGGATGTAATACACATGTCTTTTCACTGCCTCATCACCCTTTCACGATGCATCAGTCTTAAGCATTGTATTACCAAAATGGATTGCTGTTTCTTTTTTAAAACACTCATTGACGTTTTCTTTTTGTATATATTTTTCGATTACTGTGTTAAGGAGTACAATCCTTTTTCTAATTATATTAATAGTGCATGCATGTGTGTGTGTGTCCGTGTGTTTGTGTGTGTGTGTGAGAGAAAGAGAAAGAGAGAGAGAGAGAGAGAGAGAGAGAGAGAGAGATTATCTGTGAATGATTGTCCGCTTGCAATTTTGTTTATGTTTGAAGTATGAGTTTGTGGTTGGGCATATGTGCATGTGTTTCTATGCATGTGTTATTGTTTTTATTTTGTGCATTGACGCATATATGCGTGTGTAATTATGTGTCTACATATCGTCACCTGTTGTTCGTAGCTTACCTGTCAAAATTTCAGGTCAAGTGCAATTTAAATTTTTGGCTTCTAAATTATGAAAATACATTCGTAACATATTTACGAAAAATTACGTTTTCTTTCTCCTCTCACGGTCTTCCTCTTCTTCCTCTTCCACTTCTTCTTTCCTTCCTTCCTTTCTATCTCTTCGATATCAATTTAAATATCTATCACGGACTCTTCACTATCTATAAAACTAGCTACATTCCGACGAGGAATAGTGGCTTCTTTCTTAGTATCTATCTATCTATCTATCTATCTATCTATCTATCTATCTATCTATCTATCTATCTTCGGTATCTATCTATTCAGTATCTATCGATCTATCTGTCTATATATATATATATATATATATATGTATATCTTCGGTATCTATCTATCTATCTATCTATCTATCTATATATATATATGTATATCTTCGGTATCTATCTATCTCTTCAGTATCTATCTATCTATCTATCTATATATATATATATATATATATATATATCTTCGGTATCTATCTATCTCTTCAGTATCTATCTATCTATCTCTCTCTCTCTCTCTCTATATATATATATATATATATATATATATATGCATATATATCTTCGGTATCTATCTATCTATATCTTCGATATCTATCTATCTATCTATCTATCTATCTATCTATCTATATCTTCGATATTTATCTATCTATCTATCTCTTCAGTCAGTCTCTTTATCTATCTATCTATCTATCTATCTATCTATCTATCTATCTATCTATCTATCAGTCTCTTCAGTATCTATCTATCTCCTCAGTATCTATCTCCTCAGTATCTATCTCCTCAGTATCTATCTCTTCAGTATCTATCTATGTATCTCTTCAGTATCTATCTATCTATCTATCTATCTATCTATCTATCTATCTATCTATCTATCTATCTATCTATGTCACTCTGTGTGTATTTGTCTATTTAACTTTAACACTCTTTGAAATTTGGTTACATTTTAACAAGAAAACCATAGAAATAAGATCCTATTTTCATATGAACTCACAAATATTTAAGAATGGAAAAAGAAGAAGAAATGAAATAAAGCACATTAAATATTTAGAAAAACAATTAAATTCGTATTTTTATTTAAACTCCTTCGAAATTATCATTCGTCATTCGTCTTATCTACAAAATAAAAAAAAGTAGACACAATAACAACATAATAAAAAATTTGAAATATCCATTAGTTTTTCACGGGTAATAAATATTGTGGAATTACCTGACATTATGTTAGAGAACTTCTCTTAACGCCCTGTAGGTGGCAGTGCATAAAGCACTATAAAAGGAAATTACTCACCCTTTACTTTTCTTCTTTTTTTTTTTTTTAACCACAGGATGCACCCCCCTCCGTGTGGTTATTTGCGAAGCACTGGGATTAACTTTCCATTTCTTACGACATTTGGTTAAATATTTTAACATCTTCAAAATAAATTATATTCAACACGGACATGAATATTTTAAAAAAATATTATTCATATGCAAAATTTTCGTGAAATATATCTGTTTGATGTTTTGGTAAACATCATTAGTTATATTTTAACCGAACAACATTAGGGGTTACAGGCCTTGCAACATCATACTGTTTATCCTTGGGGAACCAGTGGATATCGACTTGGATGCCATCCATCAATGATTCTCATAAGTTTCCTTGATTTTCTAGTGACGGTGACGTTATGCCTCCATTCATCTTCCCACAGATTCAACAATGACGCCTACATAAAGTACCTTGATGAAATAGTGCTGCCCTGGGTCAAGAGGGTGGCTGCTGAATAATCCGATGTATGGCAACAGGACTCTACACCATGCCACACAAGCAGAAGTCAGTCGTAGCTGTCAAACAAGTTCTGCGACCCCATCAGCCCTTACATCTGGCCATCTAACTCCCCAAACTGTACCTCCCTTGATTATTATGTGTGGGCGCAGTTGAGCGAGAGATCGGCAAAACTCCTTCTAACACCAACGATGAAGGCAAAGATTACAGCAGCATCCACCCCTTGTCTTACGGCCACATCACGTTGTAACAACGGTTCCCGTACGATCACCGAAGTTAAGCAATGACGAGCCTGATCAGTACCTAGATGGGTAACTGCTTGGGAATACCAGGTGCTGCAAGCTTGATTGTGCAGATGGCATAATGGGCTTACGGCCACATTACGATGAAATAACGGTTCCCGTACGATGAACAATGTTAAGCAACATAGAGCCTGGTCAGTATCTAGATGGGTAACAGCTTGGGAATATCAGATGCTGTAAGCTTGGTTGTTCAGATATTATTATGGGCTTACGGCCAAATCACGTTGAAATAACGGTTCCTGTACGATCACCGAAGTTAAGCAACGACGAGTCTGATCAGTACCTAGATGGGAAACTGCTTGGCTGTGCAGATGGCATAATGATCTTACGGCCACATCACGCTGAAATAACGGTTATATATATTGAATAATTTAGACAAGTTTTGCGACTTATTTTCAATTGGGAGGAGGACACGGTGGAGTAATGGATAGCGTCGTGGCCTGAGGAATCAGAGAGCCGAGTTCGAATTCCAGTCGAATCCATTACATTCACTTACGTGCTAATACACTTGGGGAAGGTATGAATCCTCTTCTCCCTCCAACTATAAGTAAATAGCAGGACAGACCGGGTTCTATAGCCTTTGATGGCAACTAGTCTATCGCAGAAAGAAATGGCAACCTACTGCGGGAAAAAATCTGCCTCGTCAGTCATGTATCGAAAGATACATGATCGCTTAAGCGTTTATCCCGCATGGCACATAACTGACTGAACCTTGGGAAAGGTATGAATCCTCTTCTTCTCCGCCCCAGCTATGGGTAAATAGCAGGACAGACCGGGTTCTATAGCCTTGGATGACAACTGGTCTACCGCATGGCACAAAACTGACTATTAAAAGAAGGGAGAAAATTGCCGTGTTGATACATATTATTTCATTCCGGGTGCTTTCGACATTAGCACAATGCCATCATCAGTGTGTTGTTTAGTTCAAGACAAATATTGTAGTGTTCATCGTTTTCAAAGATAAAATTAGTGTGTTCATTTGAAAGTTATTTCTTTTTACTTGTGAAGTGAAGAACGCCGAGACAGTACGTGATCGCTTGACACCGTTTCCGGGGAGGTAACTATGCATGGCGTTTCGAGAGTTTTTAAAAAATATGTATTAAAATTATTATTGCAAGCCTAGATATTTTAAACTATCTATTGTACACATTTTAAACATTTGTGCAGTATTCATGATTGATTTTATTAAAGTTTGGTTTCAATTTTAAGATAGATAGCTTCGAGAATTTTTAGTTTATTCTTATTATTTTCATGAAGAAGTATAGATGAATTTTCAACAAGATTTTTTTCTGAATTGCGAATGCCGACAGATATACTAGTGTAAAGGTTTAGAAATGTTGAACGTGTTCAAACGAAAACTTAGCCCCCGAGATAGCGGCTTAGTTTTGTTTAAACAGTGGTTTGCTTGATGTCGAAAAGGGATGGGGTTCCTAATTTGGTTTAGTAAGACTTCTCAGTTTTATTTTAAAATTTATTAATTTCACAGTTTAACCCCTGCCCTGGCAATTATTTTGGGAAAAACGTTTCATTTTCAGAAGAATTTTTTTTATGTGTTTTTAATATAGTAGCTAAGAAACTGAGATACCTTGAAGTACCCCGAGAGGCGACCAAAACCTCTACCAGGCGTATGAGTTGACAACTGGGCTTGTTTCAAGCCCAGAAGCGAATAAAAAGAATCAAGATCGACGTATAAACATGTCTGTAAGTGGACGTGTTTATTCGTCTGTGTTTGAAAAAGACACTTTCGGTGAAAACGTATATACACGCCTACACCGGGGAAGGGTTAATAAAAGAAAATAGTGATAGCAACTCAAACACATGTACCTAGTCAAAATATCGTTGATGTATTAATAACAACAACAATAAATATGTGTGTGTGTGTGTGTGTGTGTGCGTGTGTGCGTGCATGGCTCTCTGTTCTGTGTGTGCGTGGGTGGGTGTAAACAAATTCACATATACAAATTTAACTTCACCTAATTCCTAATTAATTAAGTTAAGGGATATAGAAAAGGTCAGTAAATACTTTCCATCTCTCTTTTTAAGCTTTTAGCTGTAAAATTGTTTCCAGAATAAAATAAAGTCAATTTCATTGAATAATTACAAAACACGGCATCATTTTAATGTCCATGTGTTGGAATGGTTAGCGATTCGGAATGGACAATTGGAGACTTGAGTTCGAATTCTGGTCGTGTTCGTTACACCTCCGTTCCAATGTCATTTTTAATAGGTATGAATCTATCCCTTCTCGAGTTATGATAGCTTTGAAAACGGTATAAATCTTTTTCTTCTCCCACCTATGGGTTAAATAGCTGTAGGTGGCAATCTCTTTCAGGGAACGATTACACTGAATACAAAACCAAGGAACATACTACGCCGTCATAGAATTCACAATGACACTATGATCTTTACTGCGGTATACACCTCTATACGTGTGTGTGTATGTACATATAAATATATACACACACATATTTTTACACACATGTGTGTGTATATATATATATATATATATATATATATATATATATATAGATAGATAGATAGATAGATAGATAGATAGATAGACAAACACACACACATACAAATAAACAAACAACTACAAACCTACCTAACCCTAATTAATACTTCAATATAACACTAAGGCAAAAACATTAGATAAAAAATGAAATATTAGATAAACGATAGCATTTGACGCGTTCGACAGAGGAGGAGCGCATTCAGCAAAACATCGAAAATGTTTTTTTTCAATGCAAATTATTCATTATATCATGTCCAAGTATTTTACAAAAAATTACAACCAATTACACAATATTTCAAGCTCAATTTAGGTTTATAGTTCGTAACTATGTAATGAGATGAGGTAACATAAACCGTAGATTTGTCTTCGGAATATCATTACATTATTGTTACATAATTATAGTGAAATCATTAAGGTTTTTTGTCAAAGCATTTTATTTTTGCCTGTATATTAATTTAAGATATTCCTTTTTATGGGCCTTATTTTTGAAATGGAATGAGATCGTTCTAAATTTAAGAATATTGCCCATCAAAATGACTGGAAGAAAGCGATCGAAAATACAACAATAGAAAAACAACAATAAAGAGGCGACAATGCGTAAACGAAATAGCTTGTTCAACTTAGAAAACTTAGGAAACTTAGGATTGCAGCCAAAGTATTCTAAAATGGTGCCAATAATAAAGGAGAAAATGAAAAATACCTAACAACAAATTGAATATAGCATCAAAATTTATATTATTTTCATTTATTTGTTATGTCACTAAATACAAAATTGTCAACAATGTTTCGATAAAAAGTTGATGTTTCTTGTAATAAATTCTTAATAAAGATTATGGCTATTATTTTATTTAAGTGTAAGGTAGTCCTACATTTACAATTCCTTACAGCTAACCATGAAAAGAAATGTAGATCAAAACCGCCTTGAACCTTTAAGCGCACATTGTCGCAAAATTATCAAATGTTGAATACGCACCTCTTCCGCCGAACGCGTCATATATTATAAGCAAAATATTTTATTTACTACATATACACAATTTAAAATTACAATTTAAAATGACATATATTCAAACAGCAAAGAACATACTCCATAAATCCAACCAACCATAATTAATACCCTAAAAATAGAAAGAAAAACCTTTTAAGCACTAGGTTAACAATAAAAACACAGAGACACAACTGTACATATGCTTGTGTACGCACGTTTGTATTTGTATATATGTGCACATGTGTACATCTAAATACGTATATACATATATGTGTGTGTACGTGTGCGCAAGCGTATAAATACAGCCATATGCACATAAATTCAAACAATATTGAATAAAAATGTAATTATAAACCTAACCTCCTACAATTAATATTTTAATAGTACTCAATTAAGATACCAGCAAACTAAATAAGAAAACGAAATAATAACCAAGTGAAGACATATAAATATTTACTTTATCCTTTAAGCATTACAATCACTTATTCATGTAAAAAAACGAAATACAATTTTCATAGATCGAGAAAAGACGAGAACGCTTAAAAAATTAAAGACATGTATAGAAAAAATGACCGGAAGCCAAATAGCATCAAATGGCTACAGTTGAAAGAAAAGAAGAAAAAGATTAAAAAAAAAAGCGGGAAAAAGCTAAAGAGTGAGTGCAAAATTTGAAAAACAAAAACAAAAAACGACAAATAATCCTACACGTAGACGGGCGTACGCACACAAACACACACGCTAGCGCGCTTACTCACGCTACGAAAAAAGATGTTAAGTGCATAGCAAAAAGAAAAATCGAAAAGTGTAAGCAGTCAATTGTTGATACCCACTGATGAATGGACAGACGGGTCCGTCTACGAAATTCTGGGGCTGGGATGCTGAAGGTAACATCAATCAGCTAAGTGACAAAATTTTACTCTCTCTCTTTCCCTCTCTTGATATATATATATATATATATATATATATATATATATATATATATATATTACTTCAAACATTATTATAGTGGACACTTCTTATTTGAAATAGACACCCCATTTGTATTTATTAAACAGTGTGTAATTCAAGTCGGAGGGACACGTCTTCTTTACTTGAACAAGCCGATAAATGTAATACCCTGCTTAATAAATAAGAATGGGGAGTATTTTTCAAATAATAAGGGTATTTACCAGAGAGCCTACGTTGCTACAAATACATTCAAATAAATTAAATTACGTTTGTCTTTTTTTTTTACTTTGAAAAAGTCCACAGTGGATGAAATGCATCGGATACAACTACATACAGTTATCCTATTATAGTTTTCCTTTACAGACACACACACACAGACACACAATAAAAGCGAAACATGTTAGATTTATAAACGTTTCCTATTTTTCCTATCCTAAAATATCATATATATATATATATATATATATATATATATATATATATAGTTATTCGAAAATTATAAGATAAATATGTTATAAAATCACTACAACAATAGCCATTTTTGTTTCAACATTTCTGCTGTATTATTAAGTGATGGTGTTGAATGTAGAAT